GAGAGGGGAGGAAGAGCGAAAGCAGGGGGAGGGGATGGAAAAGGGGAAAGAAGAGGGAGAGGGGGAGGGGAGAGGGGGAGGGGAGGGGGAAGGCCACGTGGTGTCAGCAGCTGCACACAGCACGTACCTGGGGTCTCCACCCTCTGATAGTGGTAGGGATTCACGCAGACCTCGTCCTTCTTCATGTTGAAGGCAAACTCACACAGCTCCATGGCCCGCAGCTCGTGGTGGCTGTGCAGGTCGGGCCATCGCCACAGGCGGCAGTAGATGACATGGGGGAGCCCCTTTCGGTGGGACACCTGCAGCCGGCCGTCCAGGGACCTGTCGTGAATGAGAGGGTCAAAAACAGACAGTGAAGTGGGTCTGGCTGGCTTTCTCCCAGGCCCCGCCTGCCAGGCTCCCTGGACCCCTCAGGTGTCTCACCCCCACGGTGTGGGAGATCAGAGAACCTCTGTTCGAGCTGGAAGGGGTCAGGAGGAGAACACAGAGGCCACCAAGGAAGGCCGAGGGCTCCCGGGCTGGCAGGGCGCACCCGGAGCCCTCCAGGCCCTGGGGTGCGTTCTCCCACCCCACCACAGAGGGAATAGCGCTGATTCGTGCTCTGAAAGGGTTCAGGCCAGGTGGAGGTGTGCAGATGGGCACAGGGCTGAGCAAGAAGATGAAAGTTCTTTAGGGGCAACTGTGAGGACCACAGGGACACTGAGAAGGGAGGTGACAGCACATCGGCCATCTCCAATCACTCTCCACACCCACCCAGTCCCTCCCTTACACGTTAGGAAGCAAGGAGAACCCTCCTCTTATTCCGTTGATGTTTGTGATGAGGAGGGGAGGCAAAGAGGGAACTTAAAGGGCATTTTAACTGGTCAGAGGCTGCACTGCAGACATCTCAGGAGTCCCTTCAGTTTAAGGGCTGTGTGCATGCTGACCCTGGTGCCACCATCCACCGCGGTCGGGCGTGAGCAGGGCAGGAGCGGGGGCTCCGACTGCACACCAGGCTTGGTTCTGCAACTGTCCCCAGCCTGGCTGGGGCTGGCACACCAGCCACGGCAGTGCCCTGCCCCTGTCAAATAACATCTCCTGTGGTGACATGGCCTGTGAGCAGCTGTGACCTGGCGCCCGGGCCAAGGTGTGGTCCCTGGTGGACCAGTGGCACGGCTCCACCAAAGCTTGTTCAAAAGGCAGAACCTCAGGGCCGGCCCCAGCCCACTCCATCAGAATCTTCTTCTTTCTAAAATCCCCTGGTGGTCCACACAACTAGCAAGGGGGAACAGTGCCACTGGCTGTGACAACCGGGCAGCTCGAGTGGCAGCCCAGAGTAAGATGAGAGGCAGGGGGCTTCCGAGGAGACATGAGATTTCGGGTGACGTCTGGGATTAGGCAGGTGAGAAGGGTCTGTTCACACAGAATCCTTCATCTAACAAACATTTTATGAGCTCCTACTCTGGGTGGCCCCGGGATACAGTGGTGAGGGCAAGAGATGTCACAGGGAAACAGGCCACAGAGTGGTCCCTGCTTCCACGGAGCTTCCGTGGGCAAGATCGACATAATAAAGCAATCAGGACAGCTACAAACTAGTTAGTTACAAACTAAGCACAGGGAGCCGCAAGAGCTTGTGACGCTGGGGACCTTGCTTTGCCAAAGGGTAGGACAGGCATCTCTGAAAAGGTGATGGTTGAGTGGAAAGTCTAAAGGATGAGGAAGAACTAAGCAGGCAAAGGGGTGTGGGAGGAGGCCATTCCAAGTAGCGGGCAGAGCATGTGCAAAGGCCCTGTGACAGGTAGAAGACTTGATAAGGGGGAAGACCAGAATGAAGACCACAGCGACCAGAGGGGAGGGAGGCTGGGGTAGCAGGCAGGGGTGAGGCTGCAGGGTCTCAGAAACCATGATAAGAGGCCCTGCCTTTCTTCTAAAAGCCATAGGAAGCCTCTGAGATGTTTAAGCAGGCTGTGTGTGTGTGTGTGAAAGAGACAGGCTCCACGATAGTTCTGGCCACGGGAACAGGCAGACTGTGGGTAGGGGCGCTGGAGAGTCAGAGTTGGGGGGACAGATGCTCATAAATAAAGTGGTGCCTGATGGCAGCACTGATCTTTCTACAAGAAGGCCCATTCTAGGATCGTGGGCAGGACTTTTGCAACAGCCAGGTGGGGTTGGCGGAGAGGCGTGTGTAAGCTCCCCCTCCCTGCCCCTGTGTGAGTGCGGGCACCCATTTTCCTGAATAAACAGAATTTGTGGGCACCCTGTGAGGGGGGGGGCTCACCAGATGCACCGGAAGCACCAATCAAAGAGAGAGAGAAACAAGGATCCAATCACAGTCTCCCAGCCACCGGCCTGGGGAGGGGGAAGGACAGACAGACAGAGGTCAGGGCTGGGCTTGGGCACAGGGACGGACGGGCAGCTGCTGACTAAGGGCAGCTCACAGGATGTAATTACCTCCCCGCCGCGGGGCCCCAGACCGAGGAACCCCGACAGCCCCACAACAGTAATTAGCAGGCAGAACATTAGCAGAGAGAGGACAGCCTGGGACTCGCCCCTGAGATACAGAAGGAGAAGAGCCAGATGTGGAGTCACGAGACCTGGGGTCAAGATGAGAGGCTCGGCTCTTCTGGCTGTGAGACACCGGGCACGTCCCCAGGTCTCTGGGACCCTCAGTTACCTCATCAATAAAATTGGAACGTTCTCCCCTCATCTACCCCTGACCTCAGGCAGCTTGGTATCCTCTTGAAAGTCCTTTGTGAAGTACCCACCAAGGCGCATTATTATTCCACATCACAACGCCACTCTCCAAACCCGGTCCTGGACGACGGGGCGAGAGAAAGGGACAGTGGGCAGGGACAAGTGGGGACACAGAGGGACTCAGTGGTTCCCATTCTCTTGCAGAGCCACCGGGTGCCCATAAATAGGGAAGGGGCTGAGGTCACACTTCAGTGTTTGACAAAAGCCCAGAAGAGTCCAGCTGAACGTCTGGAGCTGCCTCTGTAGGGGGAGGCCCTGGAGAGAGGCTCGGGCCAGCGGTGAGGGAGGAGTGGGGCTGTTGGGGGGAGCCCCCACCCCCTGCCTGGCTGATGGAAGAAGGTAGCTCTCTTGCTTAAAAAAAAAAATAGTAACACAGGGCAAGAGGATGGGCAGTGATGGACAACACAAAAGAGAAGGCTCCCCGCTTCCATGGGGACAGTCAGCCCGAGTAACTGAGCGGGAGGCCAAGTTCTCCTCAGTCCGCTCTGAGCCTGGGCCTGGCGGAGGGAAGGTGAGAGACGGGATGCTCTGAGCACTCCTGATGTGGAGGGGCGCTTACACACAGCCCTAACCTCCTAAACCCTGGGGTCCTGGACAGCCGAGCCAGAGACCCAGAATGGACTTGGGCCCCACACCTACCCGGGGACGTGCAAAGGGACAAAGGGCAGGAAGGGGGCAGAAATGCAACGCTGTGGGACACATGAAGCTTGGAAAGGCTGCAGTGAGTGAGCCAAGATCTAGGCGTGAAGTGGCCCTTACGGGCTTTGGTAGCTGAGGGACGGGACGGAGTCAAGGAGGTGGTGAAGGAGGGCAGAAGGTCCGTCACATCAGCAGGGAGAGACTTCAGTGTCTCGATTCCTTATCCAATCCTTTCTGTGTCCTGGCCACCTGAAGAATTATGGCAGAGAAAGCTGCAGGCAGAGAGGAAGGAGCAGGGAGAAAGGAGGAGAGTAAAAGGGGAGGGATACCAGGAGGAGGGTAGAAGAGGGTGGGAGAGAGAGGGAGGGAAGGGGGAGGGGAGGAGGGGAAGGAGGAGGGGGCGTAAGGGGAGGAGGAGGTAGT